GAAAGAAAGAATCAATGATTATTTCAAGATTTTTTTTTAACTTCAGAGAACAGAAGAATAGAAACAACTGTGGCAGAAATGAAAACGAGAGGGTCAGTGTTGGTATAAAGTAGATGGATTTTAAACTACACAGAAACTAAACTTGTTACAAAGTTACATCTCAATAAAAGAAATATAACCTTATTAAAGACTTAATAGTTATTAATCATTTAGCCTGCATTTCTTCTTGACTATCAACTGTAAGAAATTAATAAAACTTTTACCTTTTACTTTACCATCCAGAATGATAGGCGTAAGCTTTAAATAAAGCTTGAGACACTCTCAGTACAGAAAGTCTAAAGGAGATACATTTAAATTTGTACTGCAATCAAGGAAGAACTTTATGTGATGGCAAGTTATGGTAAACCACATTATTTAAGTACCAGATATTATTTTACAATGTACAATATGTCTTCAGCTGGGCACAGTGGCATATGCCTATAATCCCAGTGCTGAGGTAGTCTGGGGCAGGAGGATCTCAAATTTGAGTCCCATCTAAGCAACTTATAGAGGCCCTGTCTCAAAATAAAATATAAAAAGGGCTAGTGGTACAGCACCTCTAGATTTGATTCCAAATTCCTGCAAAATAAATAAATAGCCTTTCTTCATACCTTAATCACTTTCAATAGGTAGGGAAAAATAAGCTGTTTTGATACTATTTTTCAAGAAGAATATGTTCCTTGGACTCCTTTTCATCTCTGACAAATTAAAATTTTACACAAAACTCTAAATGTAGGTAATATTAGAAGTTAGTATTACAATGTTAATTTCTGTAGCTTGCTCCTAAAACATATACATACTCCATAAGCATAATGCAATCCATAGTTATTTTTTTTTAATCACAGACATTTGGATTTGGAAGGGTCCCTAGAGATCTATTATATATCCAAATCTGATGCCAAAAACTCCTTCTACACTATACCTTACAGTGAAACGGTTAACCATTCTTTGCTTCATTATACTCAGTGTCAGAAAATACTATTTTTTTTTGGTACCAGGGAATGAACTTGGGACCTTCCGCTTGCGAGGCAGGTGGCAGCACCACTGGGCTAAATTCCCGGCCCAGAAAATACTATTTTTCAAAGTCAACTCTTCGATTATTAGGATAGCTATGTAAATTCTTCCTTACAATGAGCCAAAAATCCGCCTTCCATTGGCCTGGTTTGACCCTCTTCTGAGATGATTATTTCTTCAAATATTTACGCACCATTGTTACTTAAAAACTCCTCTCTGTAGGGCCGAGGATTTAGCTCAGTGGTTTTGCTGCCTGCTGCGCAAGAGCAAGGACAGGAGTTCGATCCCCGGTACCAAAAACAAAACAACAAAAAAACTCCTCTCTGCTAAACCAAACAACTCCAACCCTGTCAAAGCAACACATAAAATGTTGACCCTCTTGTTATCTTTGTCATCTTTGTTTAATAATCTTTGGTTTTTCACTGCCACCCTTAAAGTGTGTTACCCAGAGCAAAAAACAATACTAATAAAAATGACACGCCAGGTGTGGGGGTGACACCTCTATCCCAGCTCTTGGAAGACTGAAGCAGAAGTGCTGGTAGGCCACCCTGGGCTACACCACCAGTCCTAGACCAGCCTGCAGTACAGAGTTAGACCATGCCTCTCTCTCTCTCTCTCTCTCTCTCTCTCT